AGAGGGAGGGAGAAAACTCAGTATTTACCAGTGTTTCTGAAATAAGACGAGGTAGAAAGCAGGTACATGGGAGTCAGCCATGGCGGCCGCAGATGTTCGTGATATGCTGGATTTGCCTGCGGACGGGCAACCCAGGCCAGCAAAGAAGCAGAAAGTCGTCGAAAAGCGACCTGGTAAGGTCTTATAAATCACTATATGTGTCTGATATCCAGATCTAATGGTTGTTTAAATAGAGGGAATTACAAGAGAGCTCTATGCTTTGCTCGGGGAACGCGCGCCTCCTATTGCACTGAACGAGAACAAATATAAAGGACGGCGGAAATGGATGAGCAAACTCAAAGTGAGACCATGGTAGGTGGATTGTCGATGCGCCCTATTGAGCCCGTTATACCATGGCTAATCGTAGTTTCTCCAGGGTTATTACTCCGTTCAAGAATGCCGCTCGAAATGATGACCTTGTTCTTAAACACTGGCAGAGGAAACCGCTAGCCAAAAATCCACCACCAAACGCTGAAACTGGACAAGGAGGCACCACAGATAAAGCAGCAGAAGGCGCTTCTGTAGAAACTGAAGAAACATCTGCCTTCGCGAAGTATAATATCAAGGCTCAACATCCCCGGAGATATACGACAGAGGAATATGACAAACTTTTGAAGAGCGACATTTGGAGTCGCGAGGAGACAGATTATCTTATGGACCTCGTCGAAGAGTTTGACCTCAGATGGATAGTAATCGCAGACCGATATGACTACTCCCCGAATACCGACACGACAGCAGATGGAAGCTCCTCAACGGCTCTCGTTGCGCCAACTAGACGCCGAACAATGGAGGAGATGAAGTCACGGTATTATAACGTTGCTGCTCACATGCTGGCAATTGAACACCCCCTTTCCGAAATGTCAGAAGCGGAGTTTGACATACACGAAAAGATGATGAAATTCAACCCCGAACGAGAGAGGACAAGAAAGGAGCTGGCCAACACTCAGTTAAATAGGTCGAAGGAAGAGGTCACCGAAGAAGCTCTATTGCTGGAGGAATTAAAGAGGATTGTCGCGAACGAAAACCAGTTTATAGACGAGCGGAAGGAGCTATATGCTCGGCTGGAGGCTCCAGTCAGCAACGGCAATACCGCCATGTACCAAACCAGCCAGGGCTTGTCACAACTATTACAATCTCTTCTACAAGCGGATAGGAACAAAAAGCGACGCCCACTGCTCGGCCCGGATACTGGTGTGTCAAGCCCGGTAGGAAACGCTCCTTCAGGCGGACCGTCAGCTAGAGAAAGCAGACCGGAAACACCTGCTCCAACGCCGGCTGCTCCGGCAAACAACAAGAAGGGAGCCGCGGCCAACGCGGCGGCCCAACCTACAATCCGGACTCTCACACCGACTGAAGAAGTGAAGTACGGTGTATCACACCACGACCGCTTAACTTCCGGTGTACAATTCCGAAACGACAAAGCCCAGAAACTCACGCAGGCCAAGTCTAATATCCAATCTCAGAAACTTGCTGCTGCGCTGACAGAGCTAGATATACCCCCTCGCCTCTTTATGCCAACAGAGAAGGTATGCAAGGAGTTTGAGAAACTTATCCACCAAGTTAACTTGTTACTTGACACTCGCAAGTTCGCTGAGAAAGTGGAGGGAGAAATCCGAGTTCTGGAGGCCAGTAAGGCGGAAAGAGAGAGGAAGGAGAACGAGGAAGCTGGTGCCTCTACTGAGGGCAACGAAGGTGCCGAGGGTGCTACGGCTACGGCGAATACTTCGGATCCGGATGGGACTTCAGGTACCAAAGAAGAAACAGAAGCTGAAGCTAAAAGTACATCCCCTGGGCCCGGGAAAGCTGCCTCTGTTAAGGCGGATGCTGCGGTTGGCTCACCTGCTAAGGGGCCTGGAGGTACACACAAACGAAGTGCTAGTGTTCTCAGCGTGGTTAGTGATAAAAGTACTAAGAAGCAGAAGCGATGAATATAGAACCAGACACGTTTGGGATATTAATGGCTTTGCTCTGTATTATATATTACCCGATCCCCTTTTTTACAATATGTAACCAGCTCAAACGGTCAAGACCCCCTTTTCTCCCAGAGCAGAAACGAATGCAAGGGCCATGACCGGTTCTATTATGAGATGCGGAGATATTTATACAGTTAACGGAACTTGACGGGAAGAATACGAAAGAACAACTATTCCCCCTGCCAGCATGGGTATCCAGAAAAGACAACGAAAAAACAAAAAATAAGAAATGGAAGAGAATGAGCGACAAGAAAAAATAATAGAGTGTGGGCTTTTAACTGTTTTGGAGGCAATCATCGTATAGCTTGGACCATACCTCAGCAGATATTGGCTCAGGCCGGATATCCTCACCGTCATCCTCGCTGTCTGAGATGTTGTCATATGCCATTGGGCAAATTTCAGTACTCTCCTTAATTGGGTTCGATGGTTCTCGAAGTGCTTGTACAAGCTTTATAGTGGGATGGTTGCGATTATATACGCCACTTCCAATATCACGACGGGCTGGGTCGAAACCAAGAGGCATCTCTAGGTCCACTTCGGTGCCTAGGGATGGGAACGGCTCTAATCCATGAGATTGGTTGGAACGGCTGGACGCTGCAGTGCAGCTACTGACGTCTCTCTTGTGTCTGCGGACTTTCTTTGTCAGACATGCAATGGCACTCGTTACCCTACTTGAATGGTCACTGCGATCGATATCGCTTTGGTGAAATGGGGACACTCGGCGGATAGTATGACTACCCTCCCTAGTAGCTGTACGTGGGCGCCGATGACTATCCGGACTGTCAGATTGACGTGAGATACGTTTGTAGTCCTGAATTGGCAGCCTGTATTCTGATGGAGCCCCATTTTTATAATCCGTATAAGACTGTGATCGAATGGCCGAGTTATATTTCTCGTCAGCGGCGCCTTCGGAGCAGGAGAGTCGGGGGTACCTTTCACCCAGGGCAATATTGTAGCCGTACCCCAATCTTTTCCCGCCAGACAGCCAGCCATCGCTCAGTCGCCGACTCACAGGTTCCGTCTTGGGATAGTCCTCCTTTGGAGGCTCAGTTTCATCAAATTTCAGGGTGAACACATCGTCTAGGTCTTCAATAAAGCGGCTCCTTCTAACAAAGCTACAACTGTCCCTTTGGGTAGCAATTGAAGGTTCTCGGCGGGTATTTGCTGGTGCCCGCTGTTTCGGCACGTTCTCTGGTGAGACTCTGTTTGAGGTTAAACTCTTTTTTACTTGGTGTATTGGAGACTCGATAGCAGAAAACTCTTCAAGTTTTCGCTCATATTCTGGGGTTTCCGAGGCCGGACTCGAATACACTGAGGTTCCAATATTTATTCTGATTTGCGTGTCATCGGCCTGGGGGCTGTTGGACTGGCAAACATCTGGTGAAGTGCTCTTATTTCGCGCTGTAACATTGATCTGAACGCTTTCGGGAGAGTCTGCCAGAGAAAGGGGACTGATTTCCTTGTCGGGGCTATCCGAAGCCCCAAGGTCGCTTGGGGTCAACGTTGGTGTTTTCCTGTAATCATCTTCTATGATTGAACAAGAGGCCCTTGTTATGTGGGTCTTCAGAGGCGTCATTGGTCCCGCGTCGGAGTCAGGGCTAACAAGGTAGATGGATGTACTTTTTCTTGCTGAATCTGAATGTCCAGCAGAGGAATGTCGTTCGACACCGTCTTCACCAGAGCGATATGCCTCCCGTAAATTGACCGGCTCGGTGGCCTGGCTCCCTCTGTTGCTAGCAGGAGCGCCGTCGAGACCAAGGCAGAATTTTTCCCTCGACAGACTCTGCACATCCCTAGCAGACACTGGGCAAACGTTTTCCAGGATCGTTCGGTTCCCATGACTGGATTTGAGCCGTGCGGTGATCTGAGGGGTGAGCAGCCTGTGTGCATCACTGTCATAGGCATTCTCACTTGTATTTCCACTATCAAGGATATCAAACAATGGCTTGTTTTCGATACTGGCATGTCCACTATCACACATAGAAGCTCTTTCGTCAAGCTTTGCATCTGGAGGCTGTAATCGACCGTCCCGCGAGAACCTCTTGTGAAGCCTTCCGCCAATGGAACCGAGTCGGCTTCTGCCATTTTTCGAATGTGCACGGGCGAGAGCACAGTCCGTTGCCGGTGGTGGAAGGCCTCGAGACTCACCATCGTGAACAGGAGCATTGGCAGAGGAAAATATGGCATCTAGCATCTGCTGCTCTTCCCCAGCGGAATCAAGGGGCGTGTATGTTATGGGCTCGAAGGCAGGCGGCAACGACTGAGGGCGTCCGGCCTGATCGTTAGAGCTGCCACGAGGTGACGCTCTCTTCGGCTTCCTTCGCCATGGGCAGAATATCGAGGCCATCCTGAAGCTGTGGACGAGATATGGTATGGAGAGAAGGAAGAAACAGAACGGGGAGGTTAAAAAAAAAAAAAAAAAAGGATAGCTTCAATCGAGGATCAAAGTACGAAAAGGAAAAAGGACGAAAGAAAAAAAACAACGCGTATAGATGCGAGACTACACGCTCGAGTTCAATCCGTGCATGGGAGTACACAGAATGCGTCTGGGGCCCTGGAGCGAGGATGCTCCTGGTGACATGGCTGGGGGGGACCTTTCTCTGGTACAGCCAGGAAAAGTGGGCAAGAAGCTGAAGAAACATGGAAGGAGGGAGACACAGCGGTGAAACCACTTCCTTCTCGTTGGCTAAAAGCAGGGAGACGCTATCCTGCCGTCCATATAATCCAGAGCAAGGATGGGTATAGCTGGCTGTCGCCCGTGGATGATGGCCCGTAGGCGTGTGGTGTCCTGGGCCGGCGCGCCCTGACAGCGCTGGTACCTACCAGCCATCAGCCGCCAGCCACCGCCATTGATACCCCGATATCTGTCCCCTGACAGCGACACTGACATATCGACATCGTCAAAACATCTCTCGATGGCCCCTGATGGGCCTCTATGCGTTTTTCATGCACCTCCTTCCCCCCGTCGGCTACCATGGCGTCTGTCTTCATGTGTCAGTCTAGCACTCGGGATCGGAGGGAGATGCTTCTACTCGCGCCGACAACCACAGCGGGCAGGAAATTACCGACTCGCCTGCTGCAGTCTGTCCGCCGTCTTCGGAGGCCGAACCCTTCCATCTCGACCATCTGCGCAGTCGTCTTCATCGTCGTCTTCATCTTGATCATCTTCATCTTCATCTTCTTCGTCGTCGTCCTGCTTAGTCATCATGGCGTGACCACGAAAAAGAAAGCGAAAAAAACCCTCCGAATCGGAGTTTCTCGCTCTTTTTTTCTGCCCCTCCACAAAAGGCAAGGCGGTAACTAACTAGCCCCTCCATCCTGCATCCTCCTCCTCCTCCTCCTCCGCCCTTTTTCTTCTCCTCCTCGACTCCCTCAAACTTCTCAACCTCTTCAACCTCACCTCTTCAACCTCACTCCGTCGCCAGCTCGCTCTCTTCACCCCCAATTGACCGTCATCACATAGAAGATACCCTCGTGAAGCGACACAACGCACCTGAAAATGGTTCAATCGTAAGTCGTGCTGCCCTGCCCCGCGTGGACTCTCCGTGGTAAACATGTTCGCTGACCTGGCGGGCTCAGCTCCATTCTCGGCTTCCCTCGTATGGGTCGCCTCAGAGAGCTCAAGAAGGCCACTGAAGCGTACTGGGGCGGCAAGATCTCTCGCGATGAGCTTCTCAGCGAGGGTAAGAGACTGCGTCTCGAGCACTGGAAGATCCAGAAGGATGCTGGCGTCGACCTCATCCCCAGCAACGACTTTGCCTTCTACGACCAGGTCCTGGATCACATTCAGCTCTTTGGAGTATGTCTATGCTACGTTGCCCCGCCAATTGGCCTAAAGAGAGAACTGTCAATGGCTAATCTGCGTACCTAGGCTATCCCAGAGAGATACTCCAAGTATGGTCTTGACCCAATTGACGAGTACTTCGCCATGGGCCGTGGCCATCAGACCCCCGCCACGGACAAGGAGTCAGCTGTCGATGTCCCCAGTCTTGTACGTGTCATCTGTGCAGCTTTGATTCGCACAACATCACCTCCTTTCATCCATGCGTGGAAATGAGTCGTACCTCGCTAACACATGATTTTCAGGAGATGGTGAAATGGTTCGACTCAAACTACCACTATGTCAAGCCTACCCTGCAAGACAACCAGGTGTTCAAGCTCTCCGCTACTCCCAAGCCCGTTGTCGAGTTCAAGGAGGCCAAGGAGGCCGGCATTGTCACCCGCCCAGTCCTTCTCGGCCCCGTCTCTTTCCTGGCTCTCGCCAAGGCTGATCGTGGCCAGAAAGTTGACCCTATTTCTCTCATTGAGAAGCTCGTTCCTCTCTACGTTGACCTTTTGGCCCAGCTCAAGGAGGCTGGTGCTGAGTCTGTCCAGATTGATGAGCCAGTCTTGGTCTTTGATCTCAGGGATGCCGTCAAGGCTGCCTTCAAGCCTACCTACGAGAAGCTCGGTGCTCTCGGTGACAAGGCCCCCAAGCTTGTCTTCACCACCTACTTTGGTGACATTGTCCACAACATTGATGTTCTCGCCAACCTCCAGAGCCTCCACGCCATCCACATCGACCTCGTCCGCAACCCCGAGCAGCTCGAGACTGTCATCGGTGCTCTTGGACCCAAACAGGTCCTCTCTGCTGGTGTTGTCGATGGCCGAAACATCTGGAAGACCAACTTCAAGAGGGCCATTGAGACCGTTGAGCTCGCCATCCAGAAGCTCGGCAAGGACCGTGTGATCGTCGCAACCTCCAGTTCTCTGCTCCACACACCCCACACTCTCGCGAGCGAGAAGAACCTTGATGCTGAGGTCCACGACTGGTTCAGCTTCGCTGTCGAGAAGGCCAGTGAACTGGTTGTCATCGCCAAGGCTGTCACTGACGGCCCTGCTTCCGTCCGTGAGGCCCTCGAGGCTAATGCCAAGTCTATCCAGGCTCGTGCCGCCTCCAAGCGCACTAACGACCCCAAGGTCAAGGAGAGACAGGCTGCTGTCACTGCTGATATGCACAAGCGCAAGTCTGAATTCCCTGACCGTATTGCTGTCCAGCAGAAGGAACTCAACCTCCCCATGTTCCCAACCACTACCATTGGCTCTTTCCCCCAGACCTCTCAAATCCGTGTTCAACGAAACAAGTTCACCAAGGGTGAGATTACTGCTGAGGAGTACGAGAAGTTCATCGAGAAGGAGATCCAGGACGTTGTCAAGATCCAGGAGGACCTCGACTTGGATGTCTTCGTCCATGGTGAGCCAGAGCGTAACGACATGGTCCAGTACTTCGGTGAGCGTTTGACTGGTTATGTCTTCACCACCCACGCTTGGGTCCAGAGTTATGGCTCTCGATGTGTCCGCCCACCAATCATCGTTGGTGACATCTCTCGCCCCGCTCCTATGACTGTCAAGGAGTCCAAGTATGCTGCTTCCATCTCCAAGAAGCCAATGAAGGGCATGCTTACTGGACCCATCACCTGTCTCCGATGGTCATTCCCCCGTGATGATGTCCACCAGTCTGTCCAAGCCCAGCAGCTCGCCCTTGCTCTCCGTGACGAGGTTGTTGATCTTGAGGCTGCTGGCATCTTCGTCATCCAGGTTGACGAGCCCGCTCTCCGTGAGGGTCTCCCTCTCCGTGCTGGAGCTGCCCGTGATGCCTACCTCAAATGGGCAGTTGAGTCCTTCCGCCTCGCCACCTCCGGCGTTGCGGATGGCACCCAGATCCACTCCCACTTCTGCTACTCCGAATTCCAGGACTTCTTCCACGCCATTGCCGCCCTTGACGCTGATGTCCTCAGTATCGAGAACAGCAAGAGTGACGCTAAGCTCCTCAAGGTCTTCGTTGACGAGGCCTACCCCCGCCACATCGGCCCTGGTGTCTATGACATCCACTCCCCCCGTGTGCCTGGCGAGGAGGAGATCAAGGCCCGTATTGAAGAGATGCTTCAGTACCTCCGACCAGATCAACTCTGGATCGATCCTGACTGCGGTTTGAAGACCCGCAAGTGGCCTGAGACCAAGGCTGCCCTTGTCAACATGGTCAACGCCGCCAAGTTCTTCCGCCAGAAATACTCTAAGTAAACCTCTCTAAAGGGATTTAACGAACGAGCTGGTACAGAAGAACAATAAAAAAAATATAGAAAAAAAAAAAAAATGAAAGCAAAAAAAATAACTCAACGCAAAATAATCAAAAAGGCACAGTGTTTCAACATGCATAGCGGATATTCGGGTTAGGCTGGTAGTGGAATGGAAATGGTTTTCTCTTTGAATTGAAAAATACCCACGATCTCAACATCGGCGTTTAGTTCATGAGATCTTAGCTCATTTCCCTCTAACGATTTCTTTGTCTCGTTTGTTTCTTTATATTTCCCTGTTATGTTAATAGAGAGCCTCTACAAGATTGCTCGCACTACTACGTGTTAGCTTGAGGAGCCCCGTGATGGGCCCTATCAATTGAATCAATGAAAAGCAATATTTCAACAACTTCAAATATTCCTCGTTTTGTACCAGCAAGAAAGGGAGGGAACATGCACATCGAATGACGGAAAAAAGAACTTTTATCATTTCCCCTTACAAGAATTATACCAATTTCATAGTTTTCCCACTCGATAAATTCGGGTACCAAATTTACGCTTGATATAGTCTCCCTTAATCACAACCACTTGCAATAAGGAACGAACGCCCCCCTGCCTCCAACTGCCTTCTCGCCAAAATGCTCGATATACCAAGTTCTGCCCCAGCGAGCACGTACCGCGGTAGTAGTCATAATATTCACGCATATCAACAAGACGGGGAACGGAAGCGGTAAACCGCAAGTACTCATAAAGAATTTAGCGACGGGCGCATAAAATGGCGCAAGTTGCACCACACCAGTCGAAGCGGCAGATTCGGCCGTAACTGACGCCACGTTAAGAGTGGTGACCGAGAGTGCAATGATCACGAAACCAGTCCATTCAATCCATTCCAGCGCGTAATGAGGGAATAAGATCGACGAGAAATACCCCTCCGCTGGAGGCAGAACATATACTTTGTCATAGATAGATTTACCATTGGACCTGACAGCAGCGCTGTCGTCCTGCTTCTTTTGTCGTCGATGCGCTTCCTCCTTGCGCAACTCGAATAATGTATTCTCGGATTGAATGTTGCCGTACATACCGACTAGGAAGATTGCAAGACCGATGTAAGGGACATAAGCCATGTAGCCCGTTAACTTTGGCGCAGTGGCGATCGTAGTGTCATACATGGCTCCTGGGGCCTCGGGGGTGCCTGCTGTCGCCAGAACGGTCTTGTAACCGAGCAGCCAGGACGCAAAGGTGCTCGAGGCCAGGTAGTGGAATAAAATGGCGAAGAAGAAGATTTCAATGTGGATTGGTGACATGCTTGGGGCCAGGAAGAGGGGCGTGATCAATGCGCGGTTGACGTAGTGGAGGACATATAGCACGGCCAGCACTTTATGCCATGTTGATAAGCCAGAGAAACCATTGCCTTGCTCAGAGGTCGAGATTATATAGATGAAGTTGGCCATTCCGAAGCTCTCCATTATGCACCATGAGTATCGACCGGGCAGGTTGAAGTAGGATTTCGATATCGAGGTCTTGCCTTGGGGGTAGTATGGTGTTAACAGTTGAAGTATTGGCGCCTAGATATGAGTATATTGCGTGTTAGAATGTATTAAGGAATGCGCAGTTGTTATTTGAGCGTTTGGAGGCATGCGATGCTCACAATAAGGAAGTATTGAAAGACAGTTATCAGCACCGCGTACGCTGGCTGGGTGACAGGGAAAAAATCCGCACGCGGCGGAAGGGACTTAGCCCATTCAGTAACGGATTCCATTATCGCGTCCATCTTGGAAGAGTGTTCGAGGCGCGCGAAGGGTGCTGGTCAAATGCGCTGGAGATGGTTGAAACTGGCGATGTTGTTGGGGGAGATGACAAATGTTACTAATTTAGGCTCAATTAAGTTTGGAGCTTGTGCGGGTCCCTTGTTAGTTACCCCCTGACTACAAGCTTATTTATATCAGTAGGCGCCTTGATGACTATGAGGTGCTGGTGGTGTTGATCTCGCTGCAGGAGAAAACGCCAATAGGCAAAGAAAGATTTCATTGGTATGGACACTAAGAGTAAAACCACACAATTAGATAGCGTAACCAAATAGTTAGTATTCCATAAATTGCCTCTATAACGACTTTACAGCGCAGGTTTAACCAGCACCAGTCTCCATCTTGTC